ACCCTGCAGCAAGGTCAGCCCACATCTCCGTGAGGTCGAGGGAGACAGATTGGTTCCTCCAGAGAATGTTTGATCCATAAGTAGCATTTGAGGACCAGGGATCAGTGGTCTACATACTCCAGGCTCTTGAGTCAACACCGCCCTAGCCATGTGTCTGCCTCTCCTTCCTTTTCAGGCCTCTGCCAATCAGCGGGCTGGCCGTGCAGGCCGGGTCGCCGCGGGGAAGTGCTTCCGCCTGTACACAGCCTGGGCCTATCAGCACGAGCTCGAGGAGACCACGGTTCCCGAGATCCAGAGGACAAGCCTGGGCAATGTGGTGCTGCTGCTGAAGAGCCTAGGTGACAGGGCAGCCCGCGTCCTCCTGACGGGCTCTGGTGCTTGCCTAGGGCCCTCTCTCAATCCTTCGCTCCTTTCCCCAGGGATCCACGACCTGATGCACTTTGACTTCCTGGACCCTCCACCCTACGAGACCCTGCTGTTGGCTTTGGAACAGCTTTATGCACTGGGAGCCCTCAACCACCTGGGGGAACTTACCACGGTGAGAGGACAGCATGGCCTGGGACAGGATGAAGGGCTCCTGTAATGGTGGAAGGAACCTGAGGGAAGACGGGCCTCACCTTTCCCTTTCTTTCTTTCAAGTCTGGTCGAAAGATGGCGGAGCTGCCTGTGGATCCCATGCTGTCTAAGATGATCTTGGCCTCTGAGAAGTAAGTCTGTCTGTCTGTCCACCCGCCCGCCCGGCTTCTGGCGCCAAGTGGCCATGCCTCCTCAGTCCCAAGTGTCCCCTCCGTCTTCTTTTTCCATCGTGGTCTTTATTTAAGAAGGCTCATCACCCCTTTAGAGGCCCCAGACGGTCTGTGAGTCACGGTCCTGCCCTCGATTGTGATAGTCTGTGGGCACAAGTGGTTAGTACAGCTACCACCCAGGGCCAGTAATTGTAGCAGAGGCAGAAGCAGGTGGATTCTCTGAGTTCAAGGCCAGCCGGTATACCTAGAGTCCCAGGCCAGTGAGAGCTGCATAATGAGACCCTGCCTCATAGCACAAACAGATTAATAAAATAAAATCTGGGACCCTGAGTCAACGTTCCTGTGTGATGGGTGTGTGTGGGCTGCTGGAACTTGATTAACCCCAAGGCTTCAGGACAGGGTGTTTAGATAGGTCTGTATGGGACCATCCATAAAAAATGTCAGTGGTTAAATGTATCAGCTGCTCTTGCAGAGGACCTGAGTTCAATTCCCAAGACCCATGTGTTGGCTCATAACCATCTTTAACTTCAGTTCTTCTGACTTCCACGGGCATATGACACACACACATACATGCAGGCAAAACATTTTATACATATAAAAGAAATCTTTAACAACAACAACAAAAAAACATGTTCCTTTGCTGTGTCTGAGATCAGAAATCTCAGCAGGCAGTGGCGGGGCATATCTTTTAATCCTGGTGCTTGGGAGGCAGAGACAGGTGGGATCTCTGTGAATGCAAGACCAGCCTGGTCTACAGATCAAGTGCTAGGGCAGTTACATAGAGAAATGCTGTCTTGAAAAAAAAAAAAAGACAATAAATTAATAAATAAGCAAATAAATAAAGAAGAAGAGGAAGAGAGAGGTCAGAGAGTCTGTCCTCGTTTGTTCTTTGGTGTCTTGCTTTGACCTCATCTCTTGCTGCCCTACACCAGGTACAGCTGTTCAGAAGAGATCCTGACAGTGGCTGCTATGCTGTCTGTCAACAACTCCATCTTCTACCGGCCCAAGGACAAGGTGGTCCATGCCGACAACGCCCGTGTCAACTTCTTCCTCCCTGGTGGGGACCACCTGGTTCTGCTCAATGTGTACACACAGGTCACTGGGCAAGTGGGAATTTGGGAAGTGTGGGATACGTCTGTCCTGATAGGTACTAAACACCCGTCATCTTCACAGTGGGCGGAGAGTGGCTACTCTTCTCAGTGGTGCTATGAGAACTTTGTACAGTTCAGATCCATGCGCCGAGCCCGGGATGTGCGGGAACAGCTGGAGGGGCTCCTGGAGCGCGTGGAAGTTGGCTTGACGTCCTGCCAAGGAGACTACATTCGTGTGCGCAAGGTCAGGGTTTTTGTTGTTAATGTTTTGTCTTTTTCTTTTCATTTTTTACAGGATAGGGTTTCTCTGTGTAGCCCTGGGTATACTAGAACCCACTCTATAGACCTCGAACTCAAGAGATCCGCCTGCCCCTTCCTCCCAAGTGCCAGAATTAAAGGTGTGCGCCACCACTGGCATCTTGTTGCTTTCTTTCATGTATGTTTATGAGTGTGTGTGTAAGTCAGCGGACAACGCAGGAGTCACTATGTTATAAAACTTTTTCTGGGCAGATGCTACACATGTCTCTTACCACAGACAGGGAGCCCACAACAGTTTAACTTGGCCAACCAGTGAGTTTTATTTGGGTTACTCGTAGGAATATGAGCGAGGGATTACGGTGTTACTTACAGGAGCTGAAATGACTCAGACAGCTGCGTCACCAAAGCCCAACCCACTATGGGTGACAGCTCACAAAAGCTGGGAAACTAGAGCTCACTTCACAGCCAGCAGGCAGCTCAGCAGGTTGGAAAACACCCTTTACAAGCGGCTCTGTTGGTCTAACCCTTTTGGTAGCTCTGTTGGTTTGTTTCTTCCAAGCAGCTGGTCAGGCCTCCAGAGTCTTCTTTGCACCTTAGTGTGTCTGAGGGACACGGCGTTTATTGATTACTCTGGTGGAAAGGGGCCTAGTGAATCTGGTCAGGTTTTGGGACCTCCTAGAGCTGCTTTGTGTTGTTTGAAGAGCTTCACTGCAGGGCAGTATGTTTCCATCTCAGAGGAAACTGTTACCCAGCACACTTCTCTCCTCAGACACATATCCACTTCTGAGGGGCACACCACACTTTCCCTGCCTGAGCTCTCCTCCCTGGTGCTTACCGGAGCCCATTCCTCCCTGGACAGCACATGTCAGTCAGTGGGTTCTTCTGGGATTCCTCACCTTTCTGGTTCTCCAGAAACCTGAGCTCAGAGGTGGGAAGTGGAAGACCCCCCCAAATGGCGCCTAACCTTATTTTCTTGCCTGCATCTTAGGCCATCACTTCGGGTTATTTTTACCACACCGCGAGGCTGACTCGGAGTGGCTACCGCACAGTGAAGCAGCAGCAGACAGTGTTTATTCATCCCAACTCCTCTCTCTTTGAACAACAGCCACGCTGGTTGCTTTACCATGAGCTTGTCTTGACCACAAAGGAGTTCATGAGACAGGTAAGGGATTGTTGCTTGCTTAGATGGGTGGAGACTGGGGAGACAGTATGCTGGCATCTTAAACTCAATTTGTATTTCTGGGACTGTCACCGAAACAAAAAGGTCTATTAGTTTAACATAGGGTCACATGTCATCAGACTTAATGTATGCTTGGGATGTAGCTCGTGGTACACATAAATTAAAAAAAAAATAATAAATCAGGGCTGGAGAGATGGCTCAGAGGTTAAGAGCACTGACTGCTCTTCCAGAGGTCCTGAGTTCAATTCCCGGCAACCACATGGTGGCTCACAACCATCTATAATGAGATCTGGTGCCCTCTTCTGGTGTGCAGGCATACATGGGGGCAGAATGTTATATACATGATAAATAAATCTTAAAAAAAAAATTCCTTTCCTGCAACTGTTAGTGCCTTCCGAGATCTGAGAATTGTAACTCATTCAATAGATAATTGAAGCTGTGCCTGATGGCACAGGTCTGTAGTCCCTGGTGCTCAAGGTGAGGCAGGACGACAACACGTTGAAGATCTGCCTAGGTAACAGTGGGGCTGGAGAGTTGGCTCAGTGGTCTAGAGCACTCACTGTTCTTGCAGGGGACCTGGGTTCAGTTCCCAGCACCCACACAGCAAGCAGCTCACAATACACTCCAGATTGGGGGAATCATTGATCACATCACCCTCTTCTAGCCTCTGCAGGCACTGTACTTGAGTGTGCGTGCTCGAGTGTACACACACACACACACACACACAGTAATAAACAGTGCTGGAAAGATGGCTCACTGACTGCTCTTCCAGAAGACCTAAGTGCAATTTCCTGGTACCCTCCTGTTGGCTAACAGCTGCCTCTTAACTCCAGGGGATCTGACACCCTCTTCTGGCCTTCTTTTTTTTTTTTTTTTTTTTTTTTTGGTTTTTTGAGTCAGGGTGTCTCTGTGGCATTGGAGGCTGTCCTGGAACTAGCTCTTGTAGACCAGGCTGGTCTCCAACTCACAGAGATCCATCTGCCTCTGCCTCCCGAGTGCTGGAATTAAAGGCGTGGGCCACCAACGCCCGGCTTCTTCTGGCCTTCTTGGGCATCAGGTATGCATGTAATATACAAACATATGTGTAGGCAAAGCACCCATACACATAAAACGTTTTATAAATGTGGAAAAAGTAGAGGTCGTGCTGAGACCTCGGTGAGTCTTCTGTAGCGAGCGAGAGCCTCGCTTGGTTCATATCCAGCATCAATAAAGTGTGTGCCACGTGCTGGGGCCACAGAGGCAAACGAAGCAGATGAAGTCTGCCCTGAGGAACAGAACAGGCTCTTCTCGGGGCTCACCTACCTGATGTCTTGAGCAGGTCAGGGTGTGTCTGCCCGGCCAGCATGAAACATAGCCAGGTGCCTTCTTGCCCTCAAAGGGGAAGGGAAGCCTTTCCTAACCACACAGTGAAAACCCTGGCTTGGAAGTGAAGGAGCCCTACTGACCTCTGTCCTCTTACAGGTCCTGGAGATTGAGAGCAGCTGGCTCTTGGAAGTGGCCCCCCACTACTATAAGGCCAAGGAACTAGAAGATCCCCATGCTAAGAAAATGCCCAAAAAAGTAGGCAAGACACGAGAAGAGCTGGGCTAGTGGATGACAAACGGACTGGACCACACAGCTTCCTTTTCCTTCCATACTTTATTTAATATTTAGTAAATAAAATTATTTTTGGAATTAAGTGTGTGGCAACTTTGAGGCCCTGAAAAAGTGACATGAAACTCTACCTCATCGTTGCTTAAACTTTATTATTTACAAATTAAATTACACAGCAGCTTTACACAGCATGAGATGGGAAAGAGAGAGCATGGAGGGAGGTGGCTGGCCCTCGACATTCTTGTCCACCTTCACCTCCTCTTGTGCGTAGCAAAGTCTTCAGTGATGCCTTGACCCAAGTCTGGGTCAGGCCTTGGAACACGTGTGTAAGTTGGGCTCTGGTTCTGACAGCCCCAGGGCCACCAGGGCTCCCACTAGCAGCTTTTTGACAGGCGTTGACGGCGAGTGTGAGGGTGTCAGCTGCAGAGACAGGTTAATGGAGGCTGGGGAGGAACACAGACATGCTCTGCCCTTCACCCTACCCCACCCAGTCCCGACACTCACCTTGTCTAGGTGATGGCGACAAATGAGGCCACTGGAATTCAGGTAGAAGGTGGAATAGGCATCAAAGGTCCTGGAGAAGGGAGAAGCTAAGGTGTAATTCAAGTATTTGTTAAAACCAGTTCCTAAAGTTTGCCACGTGTCAGATTCACCTGGTGAACTGTTCTGAAGACAGGCCCTCAGAAATGTAGCCCAGACTGACTTCCAGCTCTCGGCTTGAACACTGGGACTATCACAGTCACTCTCCACTGTGCCCAAGCATCTATGAACTTAAAACTTCACGCTCAGGTTGGATTCAGAGCAATTAGATCCGAGTACCACGCTATAGAAGACCTTAGGTTATCCTACTGTGCAGCAAAGCTGGTGAAACACGAGTTGTTTGACTGTGTGGGGTAAGTGCACGCGCCCCAGGCAGAAGACGATCTCTCCTCCTCCCATTAGTTGGGTACCGGGTACTGAGCCGAGGTTGTCAGGCTTGGAGGCAAGCGCCTTCTCTTACACACCGACCGCATCTTCTCACCGGCCCAGAATCACTCATTTAAAAGCTTAAGTACAATGGTAGAGGCTGAGCCTAGTAATTTGGGGTGATGTACCAGCTAGAAACTTAACCATGCACTTCACCAAGGGCTGTGAAACTAAATTTAGGATGCAGTAGTTTTGTTTGTTTGGTTTTTGAGATGGTTTCATACAGTTAAGGCTTTGACTCCTGATCCTCCAGGAAGCAGGAATACTTTGTTCAATAAACAAGTACTTATCCAAATACCTTGTGAGGTCCAAGTAGCATAGGAAGAAACTGAAATTCAGGGGTTTCTTTTTATTCTTCAGAGGCAGAGTTTCTCTGTGTAACTCTGGCTGGCTGTCCTGGAACTCGCTCTGGAGACCAAGCTGGCCTCAAACTCACAGAGATCTGCTTGTCTCTACCTCCCAAGTGCTGGGGTTAAAGGCATGTGCCGTCACCACCACCTGGCTGGGGTTTCTTAGTAGACACAAAAATCTGTTAATTTTATTAAAAGTAGACTGGGCCATTGAGATGGTTGAGGAAGTACAGGTGCTTGCAGGCAAGGACCTGAGTTCAAGTCCCAGGACCTACATGGTAGAACGAGAGAACCGATTCTCACAAACTGTCTTCTGAACCTTCACTTACCACATACACATAAACACAAAAATAGTTCGTTTTAAATAAAAAAACAAAACAATACAAAACAAAAAACCGGTGGTGGTGGTGCACGCCTTTAGTCCCAGCACTCGGGTGGCAGAGCCAGGCAGATCTCTGTGAGTTCGAGACCAGCCTGATCTACAAGACTTAGTTCCAGGACAGCCTCCAAAGCCACTGAGAAATCCTGTCTCAAACAACAACAACAACAACAACAACAACAAAAGATAAAATAAAGTTTCTACCCTCAGGAAATCCACAGCCAAATCAAGACAAGATCACCAACTTCCAAGACAGTATTAGTGAAGCCACTGCGGTTCGGGGCCCTCTTACCGGTAAAGATCCTCTTTATCACGCCTGTAGAAACGCATGAAGAACATGTGTATGGGCAGGCCTACTAGACGCCAGCGGGCTTGCAGGGTCCAGTTCTCAGGGTGGCGGGTCAGCTGTAGAATCTCCAGCCGAAACTGTGCAAAATAGTTCCAAACCAGGAAGCGGCAAAGGGTCAGGGACATAACGTACCATGTCCGGCCCCTGTGAGAATCAAAGGGACAGGGGTATCAGGATCGCTGAACTAGAAACCCAATCTGGCTTCTGTCCAAGGAGTGGGGAAGAGTCACTCTCAAGCCGCCTAGTTAGAGAGTGAGACAAGGCTCTTTGACAAGGCTTCTCTGAGACAAGGCTGGGGTGTTTAGCATTGGATCCTCTTCTCCCGCCCTTGCCCCAACTCTCACTTGGTACGAATGCTCAGGATCTCATTGATGAACTCCACATCCATTGAGTACAGAGTGTAGTCATGGGAGCGAAGAAAGAGGGTAGGCAACTGGGGAGAAGAAGACGGGATCAACTCAGCGGGAGAGAACAGGTCCCATTTCAATATATATATATATATAAAATTTAATTTTGAGGCAAGGTGTGTTGCCCAATCTGGCTTGACCTCGGAGTCCTCTTCCCTCAACCTCCTGACTGACTGTATTACAGGCCTTTCACCAGTTTACGTATTTCTCAGTTATCTATTGTTAGGGTCGACTAACACCCACTCCCACCCAAAAAGGTCAACTCCAACTTAGCTGTCCTCCACTCAAACAGAGGGCCAGCCATTTCCCCAGAAGATATTTCACGGCACAGTTATATATGACTGCCTTGTGTTGCCAGGAATTCAGCTGACTGACTTGTCTCCATAGCGGTTCCCGTTACCGATGAGCCGCTTACCTCTTGTCTTAGTTTCTCATGCATGACCGCCAGGTGTTCCTCCATGCTCTGATCTCTTGATGGGGTATCGGGGGAAGGTCGAGGAGATCCAGGAGCTTGGAAAGGTATCCAAGCCCCAGGATGGGGGCAAGGGGGTCCCTCAAAAAGGCTCCTAAGCCCATCCAGACAGCCATTGTGCAACTCAGGTCCCGGTCCCTCCTCCCCCTTTCCCAGAGGGAGAACCACCCACAATGAGTTGACAGCCTGGACCTGAAACAGAGGTGGTGGTAGAGCCTGAGGAAGAGGGTGGGTGGCAGGATGTGGGGGTGTGAGTGACCAGGGAAGAGGAAAAGGTGGAGAAGCTGGAGTGGAGTGGGAACAGAGGGGTGGGAATGGTAGAGCCCGAGGAGAAAGCTGGTCCTAGAGAAAGAGAACAGAAACCAAAAACAAAATCAGATGTCTAAGCCAGGAATGGTGACTTAGGGAGAGAGACACAGGACGGCCCGGGAGTTCCAGGCCAGCCAGGACTACACAGTGACACCTAGTTTCAAAAACAAAAAAAGACACGGTAAAGTCTCATCCAAGCTGGGCTGTTAGCAAGCTGCAAACCCCACCTGCTCCTCTGGCTTCTAGAAGGGAAAACTGCCAGAGGGAAGAGGAATGGGCTCCTTCTGTCTCTGATGAAGACAGGACCATAGAGCACAACAGTGCCAGTGCCACCCTCCCCAACTCTAGGAAAAGGACAATCAATCCCCTCACTATTGGGAGCCAGTTTTGCATCTCTGAGACCAAGAATTCTAAGCATGTATTTTATGGGGGCTACAGCGATGGCTCGGCAGTTAAGAGCACTGATTGCTCTTCCAGAGGACCGGGGTTCAATTCCCAGCACCCTCACAGCAACTCATAACTGTCTGTAACTCCAGTTCCAGGGGACCTGACACCAACGGCAAAACACCAATGCACATAAAACAAACAAACTTTAAAAATACATTGTTTGAACGAATGAAGAGCCGGTTTACTGTATCTTGGGTGAAATGAGGCGGCCCACTAACATGGTCATGGCTCGGAAACAGCTATGCAGGGCAAAGGATTCAGGCCAAACCTCCAGGGCTCTTTCCCTACGCCCCGGTTTCCTGTGCGTGGAGGACGGTGAGACCTTGAGAGACTTATTATGAGGGCTGTACAGGATCGTGTATGTGCTCTAAACCTCACCATCCATTGCGTACGTAGTACGGAAACGCAAACTGTTATCATTTGGGGCCCCGCTGGATGACATAATCCTTGCTGACTGCCGGAGCGTGCACTCCTCCGGTCACTAACCGCTGTCGCTGCCAGGACGCTAGGCCATCCTGGGTCAGGACCGAGTCCAAGTCCCTGGGCTGCCAAGGAGCCCCAGGGGCGGGGGTACCTTGGTGCCTGCCAGGCCTTGCCCTCCGGGGGCCTTGCCTGCCTGCGGGGGGCGTGGCGGCGCGAAGGCTCGCACGGCGGAGCCGCGGGCCAGCCTCGCCAGCAGGTGCACCGCAGGCCCGCAGTTCCGGCCTCCCCGCCCTGCCTGCCCTTCAAATCACCTCCAGGCACAGGTAACGGCGG